GTTCAATAAGGGATTTTCCCACTAGGAAACCCGCTTGGGTACATTGATTCGACATGGGAGGTGGCGTCCTAACACTTCATTCGTGTGTAAGTGCTTTCAAAGCCAGAAAATACAATCACCCTGGCTCTGGCCTCTCCATTCATATGAAGAAGCCAATGTCCCCATGTGAATTCCTGGCTGTTCATTTTCACAGACAGGGTAGCCAGGTGGTACTGGAGCAGCTTGGCATTCTCTGCATCTGTATCGGTTTTCTTGCCTCCTTGGCACTCCCAGAGTTCCTCCCTTCTTCTTGAGCATTCCCTCAATCTTCCACACTCCTCTTTTGCCTCTGAGAACAGCCTTTGTTTACGAACAAGAGGAATCTGCAGCCTCATCAGCTCCAAACCAAACTCCCACCATTCTCTGGGCAAAGCCCTGCTCAGAAAAGCAATAGAAAGCGAGGGCGAGAAGGCTGGAGATAATGGTGTCTAGTGGGACCAGCAGGGTGCACAGGACACCAAGTTCAGAATGAAGCCATGGGCCTGCTGGGGCTGCACTGCCTAATTGGTGCCTGGCTGAGTGACTTGGGTCTGTCCGGACCTGTGACCTTGAAGTGCAAAGGAGCTAGACTAGATGATTCTGGGTCCTTTCCAGCTCTGAACACATCAAGCAAGTCCTAATCATGATGCTAAGCATGTACATATTGAACAAAATTGCCAGGTATGGTTGCACACACCTGTAATTCCAGCAATTCAGGAGCTGAGGCAGGAGGATTACAAATTGGAGGCCTGTCTGAGCAATTTAGCAAAACTCTGTCTGAAAATAAATAAATAAAAATAAAAAGGACTGGGGGTGTGTCTCAATGGTGAAGCACCACTGAGTTCAATCTCAAGTACCAAAAGTAATAATAATAATAATTTTACTGGCACTGGTTTCTGGGGGGATGAACTATTAGATTTCTTTTTCCTTCTCCTCTGCATTTTGCAAATAAGGAAGGATGAGATGGATTACACTACCAATGAGTTTGTGTTTTATGTGTTCACAAACACAAAAGGCACATGACTCTAAAACAAAATAAAAACATCTCTTTAAGGGGAGAGATTGAAATAATTTTTAAAACTAAAAGCAGACAAGAAAGAAAGGTCCAGATGGAGGCCCCAAATCCATCTGGAGCTCAGAAGCTCTGCAGGGCAGCATTAGCTCAGAGGTTTCCCACCTCTAAGCTGCAGTCCTTGTAAACTCCTCTGGCGCCATCTGCTGACCATCCCAGAAACAACATTTTACTTTGGTTTGCAGCAGAGCTTTGAAGGGAATGAGTCAATGGGGTCCGTTCAGGATCAAGATTGCATTCATTATATTTGCAGGCAAATGTTACCAAAATTCACTTTTGATTTTACCTTGCAGAAATGATCAGAACAGGGACATCTGAGCAAGTTCTTTCTGTATAACACCCTGAGATAGTCATTAAAATAACTGATCCTCATGCCACATAAAGCCCAAGAAAGGTTCCAGCTCCCCTCCCCACTGTACCCGGCACGAAACACTCCAGGGAACTCACTCTTGGTCCTCACCATCTGGGTACAGGGTTGGTTTCCATCTGGCTCTAGCTCTACCTCCTGGGTTCCCACAGATGGGTAATTTGTTGGCCTTTGGGCTCAATTCAAGGATTCCTACATGGCCCCAAGCAACCCAAAGTGCTGGAAGTCCTCCTTTGTCCCTCCGCCCATTCATAAGTCTTGTTTTCCCACCTACCCTTTGAAAATGAAGCTCCCTTTCCACACTTGTGGAACCTTCTTTCTGAACTGACCACAGGCACTGCTTAGAAGAGACCTCTCTGCTGTCAGAGTCTGGTCTGGTCTTTAGGGGAAGGTCAGTAGACATGCCCCCTATGCTGTAGATATTTATAGAAAGCTTTCGGGGTGCTCTACTACTAAGTTACATCCCCAGTCCTTTTTATTTTTTATTCTGAGACAGTTTCACTAAGTGGCCCAGACAGGGCTTGAACTTGCGACCCTCCTGCCTCAGCCTTCCTGGGATCCACCTAGTTGAAAAAGCAAATTCCAGCTCTAAAGGGATCTCTCAGGTCTTGCTGAGCACCAAGATCTTCCCGTGTTTCCTATCAGTCCAGGGTAATGAGAAGGTCCATCCTTCTCAGGATGAAGGAGTGGCCCAGCAGCCCCTGATTGGTCCTACCAGGGAGGGAAGGGCTGCCATATTTGGAGGGCAGCAGAGAGGCCACCCCCCTCCCCACAGCTTCTATATAGCTGGGCGGGCCTGGCTGCTGGCTGGTGAGCTGGAGGACTGCATAGCTCCAGCCTGTGTCTCCAGAAGCACACTCAGAGCAGACATCCAAGGTACGTGGGGAGGCATTTCTGGGATCAGGGTTGCTCATTCTAATCCGATCTCTAACCCAGACTAAAATCTTGTAGTGACCTCTTTACTCTCTAATCCCAAGATGGGTCCCCAGTCAGGGGACACCTGTTCATTCATCACTGGCCTTGTATTTCTGTGCTTCGATGTTATAATAAAATGCTATTTTAGGGTTGACTGATTGAGATTTTTTTTTTCTGCCTTTAAACCCTTGCCTATAAAAACAAAGTTTTGTTGTTGTTGTTGTTTGGAGAACTCTTATTATATTATTTTTCTTATTTAAGATTTTTCCTACCAAAAGGTAGAAGCTGATGATGATGTGAGTGTGGCCCCCCTATTTAGGAGCCTAATTAATGCTTCTTCACACTGGGGATCTCTTTGGAGAAAGCCAGCCTGAGTTCACTGCGGTTAGTGGCAGAAAGGAATGGGTGCTCATGCCTACCTGGGGCAGAGATGAGACTATGCCCACAAGCAAGGATGGGTAGTGAGGGCACTTTGCAGAGAAGAATGACTGGGTGAGCTCACGGGCTGCATTTTTCCTTTTCCTTTTTCTTTTTTTTTTTTTTTTCTTTTTTTTTTTTTTTTAACAGAACCAGTGTCACACCAGAGTTGAAGTTTTAACAGAGGAGAATGAATCCCTTTAGGGTGCTGCGGGAGTGGTAGAGGGTATGATAGGTGCTGTGCAAGCTTCCTCTGCCCCCTCCAGCTCTGATTCTCTGTGGACTCACAGAAGTTAGAAGACAGCTCCGGCACGCCTCCTATAGGAACTCCTATAGGAACCTTCCCCTGTCCCTGGGTCACACGGCAAGGGTCCAGGTGTCAGAATGCCGGCCAGCTGGACTTGGGAGGTGGCTTTTTACAATAACTTGTAGTTTCAGAAGCCACATGTGACAAGCTACCAGGATTAGATCTGGAGTAGGGGGAATATTCCGCTCAGCAGTCCCGTGGATGCCCTGTGGCCACCTTGACCCAGGATCCTTGTGCTGTTCCCCCAGGCCCTCCTAACCTCACCTTCAACTCATTTCCCTCAAAATTCCTCAAGAGCCAAGTTCTTCAGCTTACATCCTGCCCAACACCTCCCTCTTGAAGGGCAGTGGAGCACGGCTAGTGGCATGGGGAGTTAGCACCAGATGGAGCTAAGTTCAAATCTGCCACCTCTTACTGTGCAGCTTTGGGCCAATTCCTTTACTTCTCTGAATCCCAGGACAATTTTTTTCTTTTGGTAGTGGGAATTGAACCCAAACACTCATGGATATTAGACATGTGCTCTCCTACTGAGCTACATCCTCAGCCCTTTAAAAAAAATTTTTTTCTTTTTTAATTTAGAGACAGCGTCTCACTAAGTTGCCCAGGTTTGATTTGAATTTGTGACCCTCCTGCTTTAGCTTCCCTAGTAGCTGAGATTATAGACATGCACCACTATAACTAGCTACTCGTACTTTTATAAAATAAGAATAATAATGTAGCCATCCCATGTAAGGATTACCTTAGGCAATATCACAGAAAGGCTTAACACAGTAGTGCAATAAAGCTAGAAGGATGATCAGGGGCACATTGTCCCCTGGGGTGAGATTGACAAAGATACGTCTAGTACATTTTCATCTCTTGACTTAGGGAGCGGCTGAGATGCCTTAACTATGTTTCTACCCTTCTCCTCCTCCTCCTCCTCCTCCCCCTCCTCCTCTCATTACATAAAGCCTTTTAATATCAGCAACCGGAGATGTTCTTAGAATGGAGGCAGAATGTGCCCGAGACAGTGCAGTTTAGAGCAATAGAGAATAAGGAAGGAAGATTAAAATTATAGTCTATGACCAGAAGTATTTGATTCCAACTATCTATCTATTTATTTATTTATTAGTTGTAGGCCACAATACCTTCATTTTATTTATTTATCTGTAGTGCTGAGGGTGGAACCCAGGGCCTCACATGCTAGGTGAGCGCTCTACCACTGAGCCACAAACCCAGCCCTGATT